TATACAATAGGAAAAATTATGTCTTATGTCCGTAAGAGTCGTGAAGTCATAAAATGATGTAGTAAAGGAAACACACACAGACATATATATGTATATGTATATATATATATATATATATATAATATTTAGTGTCATACAGCTTCATAAAATATCTACAGGGGAGTCTGATGCTTGTACCCCCATGGGATTTATGGAAAGTACAGGCTTCGCGGATCCTCCTCCTTGATTGAAGTACTTTTTGAGATTCGCGACGCTTGTTTTCTGAGTGTAAAACAAAGTCATATGAACTTATTTTTAATCCAACATGCTTCATATATTTATACGAAAACATTATTGCAAAACGTTTTCGTGAACAGGCGGCAAAAAAAGATACCTAGGCAAATTCAAGCATTAGGAAGTGCATCGCGGTGTCATTGCGTTCCAGATTTGGCATCAAGGACTAATGAATTATTTTTATAACACTTGAAGACAAACATGCTTGTCTTTCTCTCGAAAGTATGTATTATCTATCATCGGAAATAACAGTACAGTACCAAGTGAGAAACGCTTATTGTTTTGTCTTCTGCGACTTTAGGTGCGTCTGTCCCAGTGGTCTGCCTCCAACGCATCTATGGTTTTGTTGTGAAGTAGTCGGCAGAGCGTGACGGTGCGTCTACTTATCTTTTCCATCGTTTTGCAGTCCATTTAAAACAAGTTTAGGCAAGACGCGCTCGTGAAAAACGTGAACTTGAGGCAATATCTCGCACAGGCATGAGACGCTAAATCTATGCGCAGCGGTGAGTGGATGACGCTTCGTTTAAACTTACAAATGCGACTCGTAAAGCTCCGACTTCGCAGCAAACTAGGAAATCTAGTGGTCATCAGCCTCTTCGAACAACAAAGGCACTGCTTCAGCCTTTTTCACCACACTCCACTGCCCACGCTACGCGAAGAGCGAAACTGAAACTGTAGAGAGAGGTCTGTATACCCCGCGACAACTTTCTGTGGCAGCACAGCCAAGGCTACGGAGCCGAAGCACGCTTGTCTTACTGCGCCACAGCATGTAGTCCCTCAACTAAAACGTTTGTATACTGTTCTGGGTAATTAAGATTTTACCATCCGTCACTTACATTTTTCGCGGATTTATTTTTTAATTAGTGAATAAAAACGTTGCGCAGTAGAACAAAAATTTCGTTTCACGCTCTCTCAGGTTTTTTGGGGTTTTTTTGGCTTCCGTCGCCTTTTTACCTCACCGCATTTTCTACTGTCAAAGATGGCGTCCGCCGGTTACAGCTCGTCAACGTCGCTTACGGAGGAAACACCGCCGCGTGCCGCGAGTCCACCAGCTGCGCAGCCGTACCAGGCGTTGTCAAATCAAAAGCTGTCCGTACAGGCCAAGAAGGTGGCGTACAAAGTTTACGCGCAAGTAAGGAAAAGCGACCCGCAGCTGTCTGTGAGAGCCGCATGTCGGAAAGTCAGCGAGCTCACTGGTGTTAGCGAGCGCAGTGTCTTCCGGATTAAGCTCGACGTTAACAGTGGAACCCTGAAGTCACCGAAAACGGTACGTGCATGATCAGTCGTGTAACCATTGCATAAATAATTGAATGTATCATTCAGCCAGCAACCTGGGTCCACGCGTCAGTAAATCACGTCACAATATTATTAAAAATTGCTCTCGAGTTCCCAAAGATGCGACTCACGTTTCCTGCAGCGAAACGCGAGCAAACGTGAGCCGACGTGGACTGCGAAACGCGGACTGCGCTGGTGAAATCGAAACCGAAACACCCGTCGAAGTGGTCGGACTACTTGGCGCAGTAGCACATGTGCATAGGCTCCGCCCACGTAGCCTTGGCCGTGCCGCCACAGAAAGTTGTCGCCGGGTATAGACAGTTCGCTAGCTAACCCTATTCAATTCGAAGGCTGTACATACCATAATTCTCATAAAGGTACATGATAGCAGCGCCAGATTCCTCTCTAGTTAATATTGTATAGAACTCTAAGTGTGGTGTAGATGGCATGCGTAGCCTTTTGAGATATTTGGCCGCGTGGTATCTTCAGGAGCAGTAATTAAAAGTCTGCTGAGCTGTCGATTTCCGCTCTTATATGGCACTATCTCCATCACAATAAACATCGTTGTGCAGAGAGTGATCCTTGAGACATTGTTATGGACAAATGATTTGTCTACGCCAGTAACGTAACTGCCATCCAAAGTTTTTATCAAGCTGCGAAAGAAGGCATGTTCGGCTCTCGCGAAGACAAGGCCTTTTCGCAACATGTTAACCTCAGAGAAACTTTCCGTGGAGCATTCTTTTTTGTTGTGCATAATAATTTCTTATTCATGTGATCTAATTTATTTAAATAATTTCATAATTTATTCAAGTTACGGCATAGACACCATAAGCTCTGTATTCCATAATGTTGTGTTCTCATTGCCATCATCAATCACTATGTGTAAACTTTACGGCTCTTTTGACATACAACTGGACTCTCACCATAAGCCCGTCTATATTATAGTCTTAAAATCATTGAACGTTACAAACAATTCAAACAAGCTGGCACATTAGCGAGCAGCAACTCTACTTGTCCAGCCATTAGGAGTACAGAAACAAAACTCAAAATGTAAGAGGGGTACCTTTGCAAAAGACGTGTGTATATTTTCGCAATGGCTGGCAATGGCTTCACGCTGCCTTCAGAGTACATTACACACGCACTTCTTAGCGTTGATAGAGAAGACTGTGTCATATCTTTTTGCATAGCTACTGTATTCCTGGAGTCTTATTCGATTTCGAAATGTCAAATCTAAGGCAGGTGTTATTGAGAACGACAAGGAGCAAAGGCGTGTTATTCTTTAGGAAAGCTTGCAAAACTTAAAAGCTTAGCTGACAGGCAAATACTATCGTACCATATTTCCTAATTGATGTTCTTTAACGCAGATGAAGATTATTTCCGGTTACGCTTGCACTAGCCGTACTACACAAGTACACAAGGTACACAAACACTATTTATTGAAAATAATATTATTCTGTCAACAATTTCCCAGTACATGCTCTTCTGCAAGCCGCTTTACAATTTTTCGCTCATCTTTTAGTGTCAGTGGCCAGTATACATAACACTTAATAATACTCTAATGAACGCTCTTTGGCTTCAGTTGCCCTTGAGCCATTAAAATTTGCCGTAATCAATATGTTGTTGTCGAACTTTTAGATCACCAATAAAAGGTTGCAGTACAGTCCAACCCACTTATACGAAACGTCACATGCCACAAAAATTACATCGTTATAACCGATCATTGGTATAGCCGTGTTGCATGAAGAAAGCAACATAAGAGCAATTGAGACTGGTGTCAGAAAACTATTAGACAAAATTTGCTAACAGACACTAGCGAGAATGATGAAAAAGCTGCTAATTTTTCGGGCATGCTAGAAAATTCGGACTATTTCACGGGTCAACTACAAGCCACATATAGCCAATGTACGACGACGTCTGAATTTCGGGTTGCTGTAAATCTTCCGAGTCTCAACTCATCACTTAAGTGGCATGTCAGAAGGGGCATTCACCGCAACCATCTGAGTCGCAGCCGATTTCAAAAATACGCTTTGCCGTGCAGCCAAAACGTCATGCAGCGAAGGTCAGTGCAAATATGAAGGGGCACTTAGGTATGTGAGGTCGTGGAAGGGCGTTCAGCAGCTTGAATTTATCGATTTAATTTTTTTGCGATAATTTCGAGTTTCAACACCTTACTGCAAAAACGACCAACAAAGAGAATTTATTGTTATAAGTGATACTGTGGCATACGAGCATTGATCTGAGCGGGTTATCTCACCATCAATTAACGTACACCAGTTGATGGCGCTATAGCTTCTCATTCCTGAAACCGGTATTTTTATAAGTGTGTTCGAGTATATTTGAATTATAAAAAAAGAAAAGATTTGTGTGTGGGTGAGCGTAGGTTTTTCGTGCAGTAAACCGGTGCTAGGTGCCCGGATTTTCTTAATTCTATCGGTCCCACTTAGCGAAGCCTAATGGAGAATGGATGCGCACGCAGGAAGCCGACTTGGCCATCGGGGACCTCACCATCACGGTGTCTCACTCACGCGTGGTGGACTTCACGCTGCCCTTCATGCATACCGGCATCGGCATTCTGTATCGACGACCCATACAGGAGTCACGTCTCTTCTACTTTCTGCTGCCCTTGTCTCTCGACGTCTGGCTATGCCTACTGGCAGCGTACCTGGGTTCTGCGTTAATGCTCCACCTGGCAGCACGCATGGCCCCCGCCGAATGACATGTGCCGAGACACGCTCCGAAGTGCGACTGCGATCGCTCATCGGGTGCGGACAGTCCTAGAAATGCACTCGGGCTTGGAGAGAGCCTGTGGTACGCAACGGTGGTGCTCCTTTTCCAAGGCTGTGAAACCAGCCCCAGGTAAGTTTCGAGATGGTAAAATTGTTGTTAACGTACAATGTGCATGGCATGACTTAAAATGTAGCAAACATCTAATGAAAAACAAAAAAAGAAACTTTAACTAGATCCTGTCATGGTTTTTTTAGCGATATGCACAAAGTGAAGGTGTGCGCCAGGTATACGCTGTGCTATGCTGTGTGAGGGTCACAATAGCATGCTGAGTAGGAAAAATAGACGAGACCAGCAATTTAAATTGATTTGAGTGATTGAAGACGATAGAAAGTCTACAACCGCAATTGTTAGAGCAAGGAACTGGTGAACCTTATTGGATTCCAATGTTGAGTATTTTCGTGGCACTATTGTTAACCACATCAAATCGTTGCGCATAAGGATAACACACGTTTTTCAAAATCTTTCAAATCGTAGTGAAGTTTAATGAGATAACGGAACGCCATGCCTGTCGTCTTTTTATATTGCTAACGTCGCTTGCAGGGCTGCGTCCACAAGACTCATTGCCATCAGCTGGTGGGTGTTCTCGCTCATCATGGTTTCCTTCTACACGGCCAACATGGCCGCTTTCTTGGTCAACGAGAAAATGCCTTGATCACCAGGAACGCATGATCACCAGGAACAACGAGGAGCTCCAGTTTCCCATAGAAAATGTTCATGACCTGGCTGCGCAGTCCAAGATTAAGCACGGCTGCATGTCGTCGGGCTCAACACAGACGTTTTTCAAGGTCAGTTCAAATATTTAATGATGATGATTCCATAAAGTTACTTGATACTTATAATTTTGCCGTGCTAATTAGGTTTTCCAAAAGGCAATTTTCACACCTATTTCCCATACGTCAGCAGGATGACTGGTTAAATATTTTTGATATCTTTCTTTAGAGCTACACATAAAATGAATGAACTGCTGTATTGACTGTCGAATACAGTCATTGCACAAAGCGTAATTACTTAATAGCAAATTTGCAAATGATTTGGGCACAAGCACTTTAAGAATGTTGTGGTCCCCATACCTCAACAAATACAAAAGTTGTGTATTTCACTCATGCGCATATAATGGAAATCTCATAGATGCAAATAAATGTGCCACAAAAACAGAATACTTCAACGTATTGGAACAGAAAGAGATGACGGCCTAGCGAAGCCTTCAATGAAAGCTTGGTGTTTTTAAAATGGCGGGAAAAAAACAGGGCGGAACCATCTATGGTTTTTATGTACGTATGTGTGAAAGAATAACTAATGGCGCATAAGAAAACTGTACCGCTTATAACTGCCGCTGACCTATGTTATGCGGCCAGTGTTATTTAACCTACGTTATTCGACCATCAGTCAAGATAATACTTATAGTAGCTTCCTACTAGATATCAGGCATTGTTCAGCCGTTGCTAGTTGTAATTTATACGGGATCGCACCAGCAGCACACATGTGGTTATACGAGCCGTCATCGCTTTCTTAGAAGCCACTGGACTGGATGCACGTCTGTAGAGTTACCCAGCCTAATAAGAACATATCATCTCTCTATCTTACCATCGTCATTCATCACTCTTTCACTCCTCAGTCACCCTTCCCCAGTGTAGAGTAGCAGGCCAGAGCAAACTATAGCTCATGCCGACCTCTCTACCTTTCTGTAAATAAATTCTCTCTCTCTCTCTCTATACGGGATCAACCCACAATAGGGCGAATTTAACCCATGCCTTATACTAGCTTTAGTCGATAATAACGAAACCTAAAGTACTTCACCTTTCAACCAGACGACATCAGCCAGCATGAGCCATGCGCTGCCAGCGTGTGCGTAAAACCGGTAGCACTTCAGTGGTATGAGAGAACTTGCAGAAGGTGCAGCCACTAGCACTCGCCGATTACATTTGCTGGAGCGAACAGTGTATGCAGAGAAGGGTACGAGCTACGCTATGAAAAATGTGGCTCTTGTTAGAACATAATAAGCCATTTGTATTAAAGCACTTCGTACAGCGTACGATGAATAGCAATTTAGGAGCCACTGTGCAATACACCGTGTCGTTCCTTTCATGGCCAACCACAGGAATCGAAACTGGAGCCGTACGAACGGATGTGGACGGTGATGTCGAACAATCGCGAACACTCCCTGGCGTCATCGACCGGCGAAGGCGTGGAGCGCGTCCGGAGAGGCGACTACGCATTCGTGATGGAGGCAGCAACCATCGAGTATCTCACAGACCGCGATTGCCAGAGGGCTCAGATTGGGGGCCCCCTCGACTCCAAGGGATATGGATTCGCGCTGCCCCGAGGTGAACAACAGGCCTCGGAAAGAAAGCTCGCTTTTCTCTCTCTCTGACGCTTTTCATGGTTCTTATTTTGTTTGCCTAGCGACACGGTGTGCAAGTATTGCTGTATTTATGCATTTGTGGGCTAGGCTAACAGCGCATGAGAAAGTTGTCACGCCAGTTGCCTACGTCACGTGTTGGCGGTGCTTCCGAATCACTTTGAGGAGGCTCGGTGCTAACTTTTGTGCGGGCCAACTGTTCGATAACGACTATGACACAGACATGTTTTTACCGTTGTAGTGACTGCACGAAGGTCAAAGTTCTATAGTGTGGTTATATTTATTTATTAGAAGAGCCTTAGATGAGTAAGTATAAGAAAAACAAGAGAACAAGATTTTCGAATTAGGCAAACTTCCAGATTACCATGTTCTCTGAACAGAAAGTTCACGGTGCGTGAAAGCCGACTATAAAAATACATGTTGCACAGTTGGGTTCCAAGGTCGGCAGAGATTTTGACAACATTTTTATGAAAAAGAACACAAATAATGGGAATACTTAGGGGGAGTGTGAAGCCTCATTCTGTGAGTTTTAGATGAGAATCTATACATTTCAATGTCCATTTTAGATGTATCTGCTGCCTTAGATGCGCTCTTCAGCGCGATTGTGTGTTGCGGGCATGTGAATTATATATACTCCATTTTTTTTCATTTGAAGAGTTTTACAATGTGTGAAAAAAATAGACGTTAGCAATAAAAAAATACCGACTTAGAGTTAGCAGAGTGAAGATTTTCGTTTGTGGTCAAATGAATTGTTATGCTTTCGTGATCAACAAACATTTGAGTATATGTGTATGAGAAGGCTTCAAATTTGACACTTATCTGAACCTTTCCTGCATGGAAGTCACCTATATGATTTTACAAGTAAACTTCTTAACAAGGCTACCCCGATTATGTACGAAAATACAAACCAGGACAGGCTATCTTTAATCAAGAAGATAACTGCTACAATGTATCAGAATGACAAACTCTAGATCGGACAATTCAGCGTGCGGTGCACAATGCGCTGTGCATGAAGCAGCAAAAACAGACAGTCAGCAGGAGAATCACCAGCACGTGGCGTTACAATTTGATTCAATCTATGAAAGTCTTACACATGCCTCCTTAGGTTTCTATGTACCTTATAAAGATGATTGATTGATATGTGGGGTTCAACGTCCCAAAACCACCATATGACTATGAGGGACGCCGTAGTGGAGGACTCCGGAAACGTAACTTTGAAATATACTTTCTTTTTTGAAATTATACTACACAAATTATCAGGACACACCGCGTTCTCCAGCGTCAATCACTGCGTATGATGATGATGAAAAAAATTACGGCGAGAGCAGCTTATGAAATATTATGTTGTTTTTTTTGTGCCGAAAATACAATTTGATCATAAGACACGCCGCAGTGAAGAGCTCAGGCTTTTTCAACAACCTGGTGTTCTTTACCGTGCACTCAATCTGAATTATTTTCTTCATTGTAGAGTTCATTATGTGTGACTATAGTGTGCTCTAGCTGCGAGTAAGGTGGGTAGTGACAAGTTAAAGTCTTCAGGTTACAGACACGAATTTAGCAAGTAACCTTTCAGACATGAGAGAGTGAGGTACCATCAATAAGAATGCTGCCGCTCTACTGAGACTAATATTTTAGGTTAAAAACTGCTATTAGCGAGGCATTCTAGACATATGCGCAGTTCATTGCTACCCTATGGTGTGGATAAAGAATTATTGAAAATAAATTGATAGCCTTACGAACGTATCAGCACAGAGGAAGATCATAATTAAGGCGCATTTAATAAATGAAAGCACTCACCAATAACATTCATTATATTTCACTTCTGTTAGCCCAGTGAGAGACACAAAATGTATGTCATCCAGCATTATATTTCAGAATATTGTCGGAAAGTATGGTTCTATCACAGTATTGAAAAAAAACGACACATCTAAGGCACAGCGCAAAGGTGTAAGACTTACGCGCTTCGGTGCTGCTTTTCATTGCCGAATTGTCAATAAGGAACTGCAAGACAGCACCTAAAGATGTGGTGCATGATTACACAGGTTATGTAGATATTACTGCTACAAATTGCTCGATCGTAAGCGGGAAAGAATATAACTAATATAACCTTCAGTGTACGTGTCTAACTGAATGTCACCTACAATTCGGTGTCAGCTACTTCAACCAAGCATGTTTTTTACAATTTTTTGTTTTTGGCTTGTAGTCATTCTTGTTAAACCACCACTAATGCACGGGGTAAAGATTCTACAACAACATTTCGTAACCCTTCACATTTGTATTTGGCGTTAATGGTTTGCAGGTGGTTCCGGTGAGCACTGGAAAAGCGTGCTGTTTTCTTCCACTGCAGAATAACTTTTGGGCATAGTGGTTTGACCGGAGAAGATTCAGTTCTTTCTTTCAGGGAAATAATATGGTGCGTGTCAGTTTATTATAAGAAGACTATTATATGTAGCATGTTGTAGGAGACAAAGTATTTAAGTGCGCACATGCTTTGTTGCATTTTCCATCACTCTTACAATCTGGCCTGGTTGTTCTGTACTCGCATGACAAATATTCAAATAGCATTCGGTGTACTGACACATTGACAAGAAATTAACGCAAAATTGGTCTGCGATTGATTTCAGGGTCCCCTTACACGGCCCACATGTTCGAAGCCATTCTCCGGTTACAAGAAACAGGGGTCATCGCGCGTCTTAAGAAGCAATGGTGGATTGGACACTGCTCTCAGAAACGCGAAAAAGAAAGAGGTGCGTCGAAGACTTCGCTGGAGAGTCGAAGACTTCGCTGGAGGTGCTGACAACTGCTCAACCCGATCGCTCAGTATCGGTGCTACTGGCCACAACGCTTCAAGTGGACGTGGTAGACAGCCGCGAGGCTTCGGCGCATGCGTAGCAGAGGAGACCCAACGTTTCCTAGCAGTGCGGCAAGTCACCAGATGCACAACACCGTGGCATTCTGGTGACTCTCCGATATAACCCGTGTGATCACATGGTGGACGCTGAAAATTAAAAAAGAAAAACTGAAGACCCGCAGACTTTCACGACCAAGTGTTTCTGTCGCTGCTGCAGGTGCCCCGCCTTTTTGAAGGACGGTAAAAAGTGTGAACCAATTGATTTGATTTGTGGGGTTTAACGTCCCAAAACCACTATTTGATTATGAGAGACGCCGTAGTGGAGGGCTCCGGAAATTTTGACCACCTGGGGTTCTTTAACGTGCACCCAAATCTGAGTACACGGGCCTACAACATTTCCGCCTCCATCGGAAATGCAGCCGCCGCAGCCGGGAATCGAACCCGCGACCTGCGGGTCAGCAGCCGAGTACCTTAGCCACTAGACCACCGAGGCGGGGCAAGTGTGAACCAATTAACTGAACGTGCGCTGACTCACTCCCGCTCATCTTGGTGCGTTCTGATATTGGCGTCTTCTGAAGCCGTCGTCCGAAGCCGTGCTTTTTTAAAAAAACTGAACGTTTTGTCCCATGGTAGCAAATGACGTGAGCTTGCATGTTGGAGACTAAGGCACTGTGTGGTGCAAGTCAAACATGTCGAATACCTAATTACAACTAAACATGCAAGAAATTGTGAGAAAATAAACCAGCAAGCAATGGTGATGTCTTAACTCATCAAATATCAGTTGGCATAATTCTTTCCCAATTGGAACCATTAAGCAAGCATGCACGAGTAAAATTATTTTGAACCTCTTCACCACTTGAAAAAAGAAAGGCACGTAGGTCAGGCCTTACTCTTTCATTTGTTCCGTGGGTGATTTAATTCTCTGATGAAGACAATATTATCGGCGCAATGGCTTCTAACGAATATATACAAAAATTAGGGCCGTCTTTAGCAAGTATTACTAGGCAATTTGGCAAACTGTATCAATAACAGACCCTTTGTTATTCAAGACTGCACTTTCTCAGCAATGCTTGCAACTATACGCAGTTTCCATTATCTATCTTTGTCTTGTATGTGCTTGAATTCTTATACATTTTTAGTTGACTTATGTTGCCTTCCTGATTTGCGCATCTGATACTTGTTTCTTTATTTCGTCTTTTTTTCTTGTGTGTTATATATGTTGTACCCACCCCCTCTGTAATGCCCTACGGGCCCTGAGGGTATTCTAATAAATAAATAAATAAACTGCATGGAAAGGTTGTTGTTATCGTCTTTCTTGGGAAGGAGCACACAGAGGTCTTTTAGAAGAGTTAAGCAAAGTCAGCGTCAGGGGCTTTAAAAAAATGAGTTGGGCTAGCATGTTATCATGCACTGAATAAAGTATCTGGGTAATCGAAATATTTGTGGAAAAAGGGATGAACATGTGATCATTTTGATTAGTATAGCTGGGACAAAAAATATTCATGTACACATTCATGAGGTGTGCTACGCTTGTCGCTAACGTAGGAAGCATAATGCATTTGAACCTCCTAATTTTAAATGCCATTCTAATTTACCGCTGTCTCTCGAGGTGTAATGAAATCGATAACGAGTGGTCACCTGAGGCACCACCACCATAATCGACGGAGAGTGGGAAAAGACAGGGATTGATCCCCTCTTCCCCCACCTCGACTGGTGAAAACTGCCAGACTTTAAATAAAGTTTCTTCATTCATCAAGTTCCACGATTTAAAAGGCCATTTTGCGCACTTCACTTGGGAAAGCCTAAGTTATATAAAATATGTTATTGGCATCTAAGTTATCAAAGTAGAGGTAAAGGATACGGGCAACAGCAAGATTATTTATCCGATAGCTTTCGCAACCGGCAAAAATGCGCAAAAATTATTCTGACCTGCAACGATGAACTTGAAAACACTTGTCCTAAACTCAGTTCAAGTTGCCACCTTACAGGTTCTCACTTATGTAAAAAACAAAACATTTTTGATTTACGACAATTCTGAAACTCTATTCAAAGCTTTCTTCATCTAGGTTGCAATGGAAGCGTCCTCATGGTGGTCACTAGAATATCATCGTGGA